TTTTTTTTTTTTTTTTTTTGCAGTTTTTGGCCGGGGCTGGGTTTGAATGTGCCACCTCTGGCATATGGGGCGGCGCCCTACTCACTGAGCCACAGGTGCCGCCCTATTTATTTATTTGTTTGAGACAGAGTCTTACTCTGTTGCCCTGGGTAGAGTGCCATGGCATCATAGCTAATAGCAACCTCAAACTTTTAGGCTCAAGAGATCCCCTGGCCTCATGATACCCTAGCTAGTTTTTTGTTTCTATTTTATTTTAGTATAGATAGGGTCTCCCTCTTGCTGGTTTTGAACTCCTAAGCTTAAGCAATCCACCCATCCCAGTCTCCGAGAGTGCTAGGATTCCAGGCATGATCCACAGCACCCAGCATCCATCTTTGAAATTGAATTTTTTTTTTTTTTTGAGACAGAGTCTCACCTTGTTGCCCTCAGTAGAGTGCGGTGGTATCACAGCTCACAGCAACCTCAAACTCTTGGGCTTAAGGGATTCTCTTACCTCGTTCTCCCAAGTAGCTAGGACTACAGGTGCCCACCACAGTGCCTGGTTATTCTTAGAGATAAGGTCTTTCTCTGGCTTAGGCTAATCTGGAACTCAGGCAGTCTACCCTCAGCTCAGACCTCACACCTAATAATCATAGCCTCAGCCTCCTAGAGTGCTGGGATTACAGGCGTGAGCCATCTCACCTCCAGGTGAGAGCCATCGCTCCCAGCCTTGAGATTTAATTTTGAGTTCTAATAATAATTTTGAGTTATTTTGGTGTTTCAAACTTAGTAAGCTTTGCTTTTATCTTTACTTCTCCTTTTCTGGGGTTTGCTTTATAGTTACTTTTCTAACTGTGAGTTAATGCTTCTTTTATTTTTTCTTAACTCTGTAGGTAAGATGTCATTTCTCTCTCTGCTTTCAAATATTTTTCATTATCTTTAGTTTGGAGAATTTTGACTTTGATATGTGTTTTGGCATGAATTTCTTTGGGTTTATCCTTTGGGGGGTCATTCAGCCTCTTGAATCTGTGG